GTCTCTTTTTTACCTAGGGAAAAATCACAAGCCTGAGATACTTACTTCATCCTTACCTTGAAGTCAAAGAAATCAGCAAAAGTCACAAGCCTAAAAAAAATGCTGATGGTCCTGAGGACATTCAACTGAAAACCATGTTGTAGCCTATCTGATGGGTACTTATGCCAAGCCAATATTTATTCAATGAACTATATGCAAAGGCATTGTGCTAAGTGTAAATTAAACTACTTTTCATGCATTGAAACAACATCTGTAGTTGGATAATATTTATTAATTCCATTAATAACTACATATTTTATTCTAATAATCGCCATGTTAATAAATTTAAGGCATCTTAGGCTAGGATCAAAATTTGATCAATGCTTTTTTAAGACAGACCTTCAAACACTGCACACCGATGTTTTCTTTAACAAAGCTTGTCTTCAGGAGCAGTAAATAACATTTTTATTTTAAGCGGATCAAAGAGAACAATTTTTATTATAAAGACTTATCTCAAAATCTGGAACTGATTTAAGAATTAAAAGTTTCAACATTATCAGTCTTAAGGAGGAAAGTGTTTCCAAACTGAGAGGCAAGAAAAAATTGTTAGGTGCATGTATTTTATACAATCAATCAGATTTGTAAGTTCTAAAACTGCTCATATCCAGCATGATGGCGTTTGAGACCAATAAAGTAAGCCAGCAACACTAGAATAAGTACTCCTGCCAAGGCTGCTCCCACCGCTATAGGCACAAGGAAGTTGTCGTCATCTGCACTGCAGTCTTGCGCTAGATGTGGAAAAAGGACAATTGAGAACAAAAACACTGACAAAATTTCAAATCTGTACATTATATTAATCTATAATCATAAAGTATATTATAGATTATAGATTAACTTCCCAACATACTTGTTTTTTACACCAAGGTAACAAGTCAGTGGTATTAGTTACCAGCAAATGAGATGTTCCACAATGATTCTCCTAATGGCCAAATCGTACATTTTAAGTACCCCCCAAAATGCAGCCATTTGGGATGAAAGATATATAAAATGATCACATGCTTCCCAGATTTCTTAAACAGACGATAATGGGTGAATATAATTAGCCTTTCCTTGATGATCAGGCTGTGAGCTTTCAGAGCTAAACTGTTAAGATGATGTAGAAGCACAGTGCCTGAACACCAGATTGTGAAGTATTAATGAAATAAACCAAATGAACAACTATACAAAGCAGACATAAGGAGAATTCAATGCATAGCAATCTGGTTTAGTAGTGGGAAAAGATATAAGCTGGCCTTAAGGGTAAAACTTCATCTCATGATGTTCAGTCTAGTTTGAGAGTCAAACAAGAAATCAGTGGTTATCACTTCAAAATGTCCTATAGTAGGAGAAAGGCAACGCAGTGCCATGGATGTATTTCAGAGGCACACTCAAGTCAGCCTTGTTACACAAGACATATTTTAAAGAGGTGACACTAAAGCTGAGTTTTTAAGGGTGATGGAAGGGAACTCTAGGAATAGGATATAGCACAGACCAAAAAATGGAAGGTAAGAAAACACAGCACTTCAGGGGTAATGCAGGTAGGTTGGCGTAACTACAACAGATAAAGAGATATTCTTGGCTGGAAGAAGCAGGAAAAGTGTATTAGGACCAGTTCACAAAGGCACTGTGTGCTCTAGATAACTTGGCCTTATACTAATGGCCACAAAAGAAGTACATCAAGATTAAGCAGGATATTTGTTTCAGAAGTTACAGCAGATGTAAGACTGGAGGTATTGTTAGAAGGCATCCATCTCTATTGCTCAGTGTGGCCCTAAATTGGGTTAACTAAGTGCAGATGTAGAAGAGACAGTCTAGAGATCTAATGATAAGGCAGAACTGACTAAATGGATGACAGGGTATGGTAGGATAGTAGAATGGTTTCCACTCACTCACCTTGAGTGATTGTGTAGATGCTGGTGCCATTCATCAAAGTAGGGAATACAGGAAGGAAAATATATGTATTTCACTGTTGTTTGTAGTTATGGGGGGGGGTTGAAGTGAGAGGTGGAGAGGAAATTGTTGAAGGAGACTTTGTTTTGGATCTACTGTTTTAGAGGCCTGGATCCCAACCAAGTACCCAAAGTACATGGACAAGGATATTTCTCAGCAAGGGCAAGTATCAATAGAATAAAAAGAGACTTAGAGACAATGCCCTTAGGTACATCAGTATTTGAGGCATAGACAAAGGAACAGGAAAAAGTAGAAAAGCCAAGGAAGGAAATAGCTTCAATTAGTATGGAATAGTGTAAAATATAAGAGAAGTCTAAGAAAAGTCAATGGATCTAGCAATATGGAGGGTGGGAATTGAGTAGAATGACCACAGATTTGGGAGTGAACGAAAAGTTATCCGTTAGGAGATCAAAAACATGGGATGGGAACCATACAAGTTTAGCACAAAGGATAATATGGAAGTAGTTAGAAAAGGGACACAGGGTCTATAAAGAGTATCATCAGGGTGAAAGAGACTCAAATGTTTATGGGATGAGGAAAATGGCCATCAGCAACTGACAGGTTGAAGATGCTGAATGGTACAAAGTCTCCTAGGAGGCAGAAGCAAAGAAATCCCAGAAGCAACAACCAGGAAAAGAAACCCGAGTCTGGAAAGAGGAAAGAATGTTGTAGATGAGGATATTCTTGCAGAGGGAAGGAAGCTAGAATGTTGAACCATCTCTTTAAATATTTTCCCTTCTCAAGCCTCTTATTGTCCTAGTTTTCCTCCTAGCCTGCACTCTACCAGGACTGATAAATCAGCCAATTAAGCTTATTAGAATTCTGTCAAGAATGAGAATGAATAGGCTACAAGGAAGTTCTGATTGTGCTTGCGTTTAGAAATCTGCCAGGCTTTTGCTAGCCTCTGGGGCATTAACTGGGAACAAGATGCAATCCTGGAGTTTATGGACTTTATGACATCGACTTTGGCTGCCAGCAGTGATCTTTTTTATTTGCTTCTTGTTCTGGTAAAAATCCAGATAGCTGAGGGTGCCAGATGTGACTTGTGAATATATGGTGTCAAGAACACCCAAATAGTGCCTCTCCTTCAATTTCCCAAATTACCACTGAGCATATAAACTATTAGGTGACATGTACCATAAAGTATTATGCCTTGGATTTAATATAACTTGGTTTTTAAAAAATTCATTAATTTCTTATTCTGGCAACGGGTTCACAGTCCTCTCTCCCAAATTGGGTATTTGACCTAGTACTGAAATGACTTTCATAAATACTGCCAATAAGGCTTTCATGTAACACAAATATTCCGAGTAGATCAAAAAGGCAATTCCGCTAATACAAAGATCTTTCCAGATGCTGTCACTTACTTAAAATGCTCTCAATTAGTATGTGAAGTATAATTTATAACTATTGATTTTATGAATTCAACCTTTAGAAATTCTTTAGGTTAATGGAAATAAATTTTGGTAAAACAGTAATTTTAATAGGATCACATCTGAAGAAAAGGAAATTTCATTCTATTAAGTCATTTTGGCCTATCTATTTGACTAATGTACACTTGAGATGATACCGAAAATATTTCGGGTAAAGAAAAAGTATGTTTGTAGAAGAGTTTGTAACAGTTAAGAAGCTGTGAAGATTTTTAAAGAAAAAGTTTCATGGCTATTAAAATTTCAATGAAAAGTCTCATGCAGATTAAAAAATATTGTTAATTTTCAATTTGCTGTTAGTTCAAAATTTCTCTGAATACATTTTCAGTGTGTGAGTCAGAAAGCCAACATACATATTTATAACAACATGTGAAACTATTCAAAACCATTTGGGTCAAAATTTCTTTGAAGTTTCTTTGGGAGAACCAACATGAAGAATCACATTCTTGTGTGATATTGTGTACTTCTTAACTCTAAAGACAAATATATCACATGAAGCTAAAAAGATACTTGAAGCTACTCTATATCTCCCTAACATGTCTACTATACTAGTTCCAAAAACAAGCTATGGTAATTATTGATGCAAATATTTAGCTACTAGGGTAAAAGGTAAGGAGATGAGCCCAAGACAATGAACATTACCTAATGAAACAGAGATAAAATGCTTTAAAATCTTAAAAATGAGTCTTCTGAATTGCTTCTGAAAAATATAAGAAACTTCAGATGGTACACACCATATGTAAAAGTATGTGATACATAACAATTAGCTTCTTATCAGATTCCTTCTACCAATGCTCAAATGTGCATTTATTTTCATGAAATACAAACTATCACTCCAAGGAATAAGAATAAGAGGATTTCAAAACCTTGGCCCCCAGATGAAGAAACTGAGATGCTAGAAATTAAGCAGCTTGGTGAGAGACACATGGTAGTTAGCAGAAGAGATGGGAACCCTAAGGATTGACTGGCAGTCACATGGCTTACCAAGTCAAGTTGCAATTGTGTTTTTGTGCCACATTATCGTGACTGGGACATTATATGGAAATTGAAAAGTTCAAGTATTTTTAGAGTGATCGAAGAGAGGTTGCAAACAAAACTATTTTGCTTTGGATCAATTGCTTACTTTGTATGACTGCGATGTAAAGCTGCTATGTATAGATACTAAATATCAGCCTCAATTTAGGAACTGGGGAAAATGTACAAAGAACTACTCTCAAGTTCCTACTATGAAATAAAAATTCTAGATCACATCAGTTTCAGCTAGTGTGTTTTCTCTCTTTCACACACATACACACACACACACACACACACACACACACACACACACACACTCATTCCATTCCAGACCCACTAAGCTAAATCCTCTAGGAATGTAGTTTGGGAGTCTGAATTTTTATAATAGGTGATTCTTAGTCTGTAGCTGGCCCACCATCAGTAGAGACCAAAGCATGGGACCATTTCCAGAGAGTAACACAGGCCATTCTGGAAATAATTTAGTTCTATTGTTCAAAGCATTTCTAAAGTTTTTCCTTTTGGAAGAAATTGCCGTTGTATAGTATACAAAATCTTGACTTTAACCAGAAGGAAAAAATGTGAGCAAATTTCCTTAAGAAATAAAAGAATCTTTATTGTTTGTTTTAGAAGCAATATGTTGAGCAAATGGACAGGCAAATATCTAAAGAGAAATACCATACATCAACTATTAGTTTAAACATTTGAGGAAAAAAAAACATGAAAAGTATTTACGTGGACCAGTTTCTTTATACAAATGCTAAAACATGAAAAATGCCCAGAATGAAATAAAGTATTAGACCATCAAGGTGTTAACCCAGTAAAACAAACAAAACCTACAAGAGGTACAAAGAACATGTGGGTATAGGAAATAATCATGTAAATAACAGTATGTAAACTGGCCCATGTAAAATACAAAAATATTCAATTAAGTCAGATTTTCTATAAAAGAGCTTATTAGAGGTATTTTAATATGAATCAGGTATATAATCTAAATGTAGAAACTTTTAGAAACATTAACAGCATTAAGCCCAAGCCACCCATTTGTGCTTCTAATTTTTAATTTAAAAAAAGAAACTTAACTCGTGAGAAATATCTAAGGCCCACAACATTCTTATAAGCATTCTTAAAAAGTTAACAATCTTACACTAAAACACTATTTAAATAAAATGCTTTTAGAAATCAAATTTATTATTAGTCTTTAGAAGGTGCTTTAAAGCTGGCAATGCAGCTCAATGTAGCTTTAAGGGAAGGGCTAGTCAGGAATTTGATTCTGAGCCAGTAAGATTTTTCAGGCTTCAATAAACAGAGAGCAAATCTAAGTAGGAGAAAAATTTATCCCTCAAATGTAATTCAAAAGGTACTTATAGACATACAGATGCTAACAATCAATCGCCTCTGTATGTGTGTACGTACAGCTAGACTACCAAATGCCTTCAATACCCTTAATATATTGAAATCCAGGTAACTCCTTATCTTCCAGGAACCTTCCATATATAAACAGGAACCCTTCCATATATAGCTGCATATTAACAATTTTTTTTAACATATGCTCAGCCATTTCAGTATCAAAAAGAAAAAAAGACTCCCTGAAGCAGCAGGAAATAGTTGATGTGTTAACTATCAAACTGAAATGCTTTGCTTTCTCATATAAACATAAGGTGGTGCACAGTAAATGGACAATTGCTGCATCTCCCCAGAGAACAAAACTGAGCACAAAGTATATGAATTAATAATGATGCTACCATAATGAACAATGACAATGTAAGTTTTGATTAGCAAAGAACCATTTAAATGTGAAAGTCAAATTAGTAAATGTGGTGGCAATCGATGCAAGCTGGAAACAAAAAAAACAACTTTTCAACAGACTAAGAGAAGACCAAGACTTTTGGGTTAGGTGCAAGTTACTTTTATAAGTCTAAGTGCACTTCTTCTAGGTTCTAGGACATACTGGCATTTCTTCTTTAAGGAAAAAAAAAAACACTACCAACAACAAGGATATTGGAAGGCTAAAGAAAAATCTACATTAATTTTAGCACTCCACGTAGAGCGCAATTTATGGGTACAAGGGACTAATGCCCTATATTGGCATTGCCTAGCAATTATTTCTAAAGCACCTACATGACTTGAAATGCCCAGTTAGAATAGTCTTGTGTCTTGCCATCTAAAAGATTGCAATATCCAGTTTTTTCTTCAAAAAGGGTTAACAGTAAGATTAACACCTATTCTAAAATTTAAAAAGCTTTTGTGTCTTTTGTCATTACAGTCACATTAAATACAAATGTATTCAAAAGGTATTAGAAAAGCATTCATTACTAAGAACATAATACTAGACCCTGTTCAAATCTACTGGTGTATCTTTCATAGGTCAGATATGCGGCAATGCCAAAGCAGCTAAGTTAACCTGCAAACAAAAATCACAAAAAATGCAAAAGGAGCAAGTACAAATCCACTGCAGAATGTCTTGTCTCAAATGACTACATGCAGGAAGAAATTTTTTTTTAACAAAAAAAAAAACTGGTTTTCCTAAACTGTGCATTTCTATTCAGAATATCTAAAGTGAAAACACCAGAACACTAATTCAAGACAATAAAATAGAACCTACAATCTAGTTAATTTGGTACATGCCTTTTGCTGTAGAAACAGTTTTAAATTCCTTGGTTGGGGAAAGCAAAGCCCTATGACTTATTTGGCATTTATACTTTGGGGGTATTTTTATTTAAGTATGAAAGCCCCCCCATACCACTGATTCTAATCAACTGCAGCTAAATATACCTTAAATTGAACAGTTTTGCATGTTGGAACTTGTACTTGCTTTATTTTTTTATAACAGATCACATGTGGATTAATGTTACAGAGTCTGATATCCAGCATAACTCTTTCTTCTGCCAATTAGGTAAGCAATCACTATAATGATAATCAAGCCTGAAAGACCAGCACCAACTATAATTGGTATTAGAATGGTGTCATCATCCAGCGAACACTCCTGGGCTGTAGGTGAGAAAAAGTGTGTAACAAATAATGAGTATAATCAAAAAAGAATGTTGGAAAGTAAAAGATGTTGATTCAAAAGTTAGAAATGCTCTTAACAAGATCAACTTTTAGTAATTAAGACAAGTATATTTTAATGACAAAACTATAGAAAATTATGGTTTTAAAATCAAAATCCTAAAACTTAACATGACCTTTCATTCACATGTGTTTCTTTATATAGATATTCATGTATACGAACACATATTCAGGTTTCCTTCACTAGTCAAAAGAAGTGTTTCTATTTGGTATGATTTGGTAGGTTATTTCCTGGGTCATACCAAATAGGGACACCCTACTTTTGGCTAGTGAGGGAAACCTGCATATGCACTGACAATTGAGTAAACACACTTGGTATTGTATGGAATGCATGCATGCACACATACATGTATATGTTTCTATTCCAAGTCCTTTCCAAAATAGGAGTATTACTGTATCAGAGACAAAGAGAGCTAACCTAGTCCATTTCTAAAGTCAGATTAGCCTCTCGGTAGTAGAGTTTAACTGGGAACAGATCAAGAAGGTTTAATCATGGGAAAAGGACAGGCTGTATCTGGAATCCTTTAAGGGGAGGGTTGGCAAATTTGGAGTCTTATCGGGTCTAAGAACTAAAAAGGCTTTTAAACATCTTAGATGGCTGAGGGGTAAAAAAAAAAAAAAAGCCATAAGAATATTTTGTGACACATAAGAATTACATGAAATTCAAATTTTAGTATCCTTAAATAAAGTTTATTGGCACACAGTCACATTTGTTTACTGCCTATGGCTATTTTCCTGTTAAAATAGCGGAGTTGAATAATTGTGACAGAAAACATCTGGCCCCTAGACTTAAAGCACTTACACTGTCTGGGCCTACAGAAAAAGTTTGCAGAGCCCTAATTTAAGAGTGTGAGAGGCCATGAAAGTCAAGAACCTGAGACTTCTTACTAATCTATGTTTACTACATTTATCATTCTGACCAGGGCCAGCAACCTACAGAGACTATTTTATGTTGTTCCTAGAGAAGTAGAGAAGTAGAATGCTAAAGTAGAACACTTTAGCTTACTACAAGTCTTATTTCCTCCTCCTATACAGTCAAGTTTTATCAGTGTTTATATTTATAGCTACCCACAGTTCAGACTCTAGCTCCACAAATAGATTATGCATTCATTATCAGTATTATATGCTGTGTGCTCCATTGGGTATCATTTGTAATCCTACGTACATAAAAACCAAAGTCAAATTATAAAAAGAACACAGCTCATCTCTAGTACAGTTGCCCAGATAAACAGGCTTGAGCTTATATTAACACTGTTAATGATTTCAAATTCTAAACACAAAGCTAGACCTAAAATTGAGATAATAATGTAGGGGAGCTAAGATAAAGACTCCAAAAATAAATCTACTTTAAAGGATCTCAATAATTGAAGTTTATCAGCAAAAATGACCAAAAGGAAAATCAATTCTTGAAAATATTTTTAAAGTGTGATTAATCTCAGTTGGGAGGAGGGTAGGGGGAGAAAAAATAAATATGATTAATAAATATGATTAATCTCCCTGGTCACAAGAATGGTAGAGTGAAGAGCCTGACTTATTTCAGCCTAACCAAGTCAAGTATTTGGCACTAATGCAAAGGCAGTTGAAGGGCTCACAGTATATTTACTTTTAAAAACAACTTCCACATTTCCATCTAACAGAATTGTTAAAAAGACTGTGGATGACTAGAATAGCTCTGCTCAGCAGAGCTGTGATCCACAAACCCCCAATTTTATGTAATTAGCTTAAATGGAAAAGCCATGTAAGGAATTTTATGTACCTTTTTTCTTCATGTAAGTTTTAACCTCATAATGCCAAATTCATCTCTCATATTCAAATAAACACACTATAATGAGCCCTTCACAAAGCTTTCACTAAAATCTGATAAATACCATGATAAACCCTGAGCAGAACTTCAAGAAGCCTCTTTCACACTGGTACAAGCTTTGAAAACTGTCCAGATCGTTCTGGCTGGCCATAATAGAATTCATGATATTGGAGCCTTTGCTACTGCAATCTTTCATTTTAATAAATTAAGACCAAACTGCTCTTATTCAGGTATGAACATGTTTCTAGCAAGATGATCCCAAGGAGACAGACGCAAGATATTCAAAGGTGCTGCTGCTCCCCAGTACCATACTTCCCACAAACACAAACTGGGTTGGGGGGTAGGGGGAGAGAGGGCATCCACAGCTAGAGTCAAGCTCACTTAATGCTATCAATTTACATTTTAAGAGTTATGTTGTTTTCAGATCACCAAAAAAATCTACTTTGAGCAAAATTATGAGTGAACTCTAGAGTTACAAAGCTTGCTCAAAGCTAATACTCTACCATAAAGCCAAGAGGTAAATTCCTATTTCTCTACTTCAGTGCTTAAATTTCTGTGACTCACAGGAAAAGTCACCTATCAGTCAACATAAGAACATAAATTATTAATAAAAGTTGCTCAACTCTTACCTGTAGAATATTTTCCTTCCATCACATTAAAAGGCTGAACCCTTAGACTGAAGGTATTTATATGAAATGTTTCAGACACCAGAACAGTCTGCTCTTTGTTGCACATGTACGAACTTCCCAGTGGGGCGTCCCAGTAGCTAAGATTATTATTTGCCATGTTGAAATCTTTCAAGAAAAGAAATATGTCATTAACTTCTCATATCAACATAAAAAGGGACAGTTCCCAGGAGATTTCACAGCTTGGGGTATAAGGTCTACCCACAAAAAGCAATTCTTATGATCATTAGGTCCCCTATCTTTCTACAGATGTCCCAGAGTCTAGAACTCTGTCATATCCTTAACAATTATCCACCATGCTTTAAAATATCAGATACTGCAAAAGCTTGAACAATAATTCCAAGTTACTGATTTTAAGTTGTGGTCAAAGTACAGTTTTCACATAGAACTTTCTGTCCCATTAAATAAGGCACGATTTGGTAGTAAAATAATTATGGTTTCTATTCCTTCAGTGTAACCCACTCTTTTCCCACAGGCCATTGCTTACCAGTGCCATTAATGACTATGCTGACATTCACTTCTTTCAGATAGAATCGGCTATCATTTTTCTGTTTGAAAGAGAGTCCCCAGTTAATCAACATATCATATGTGTATACAGGTACAGTTAATATCTACAGAAGAAAAGCAATCTAACACTATTACCCAGAAGATAAAAACACAAATTAGACCAGGTCAGCAGAATCAACTGCAACTATGTAAACAACAACTCAAAATGTGACGGAAACCCCTTTCCTCTGCATTTTGTTTTTGATTTTCAGACCACAGATGTAATTGTGTGGTTCTTAAGACACTCAAACAATGCATCTCCCTCCATGATATTCCTCCTATAACTTGCTGAGCCCTCAACACCTCTGGCTAGATCACAATAGCTTCTCGACTGGGCTCCCTGCCTTTTATTTAGCCCCTCCATTTCTAACCTTTCCTTCCCTATTGTCTTTCTGAAGCCCTCCTCTGATCAGTCATTCTATTTATTTCAGTGTTTAGTATGTACAAGGAAACAGCCAAAATGAATTAGACCTTGGGTCCTGAGCCCACCATGTTTGCAATCTCCAACAAAGTTAAGATAAATACATAAATTACCATAAGACACAAAAGACAGTGGTAAATTATGAAATTTAAAAGGAGAGAAATTACTTCCAACTTGGGGGAGGAACAGAAATAATGCAAGCTTAGGAATGGGCCATTTGAATTGGATAGGAATCAACTGAGGAATAAGCAGAAACAGCAACAGCACAAGGAAAAGTGGTGCTGGAAATTAGCATAATCACAAGTAGACTAGTATCTGAGAGCTTCTTAAGTGCATCCCTCTTAAAACTGAGGCTTTGTTGAATAACCACAACACCCCATTTTGATGTGGGGTAATCAAAGTACAAGGCTACATGGCTAGTAGTCAGTGAGCTGGAATTTGAATCCAGGAAGTCTGGCTACAGAGCCTATGTCCTGGTTACTACTACTCTCTCCTCCAGTATTGGATGTACATAGGAGACAGAGGGAGAGAAGCAAAGATTCACAAAGATAGAAATGCAGGTTACACTGCATGATGAAGCAGCTGGGAGAGGGGTACAATGTGTGAATATCCTGCAATGGAATTTAGGTATTATCTTGTTTGAAAAACAAAACCAATGAAGGATTCTGAGGAAGAGCTGCCCATTGGGAAGATTAAACTAATGCATAGCATTAGGAGAGGAGTAGAAGAGGGACTGGTTAGGAGATGGAATCGTCCAGGGAAGAAGAGGTAATGCACACTGGAATCGGGGCACAGGCAGTGGGGAATGAAAACGAGGAGACAGACCCAGAGATTTTAGGAGGAAGCATAAAGATGGTCTTAAGAAAATTACCACATCTCTCCTCTCCTTAGGCAGAGGAGCCCAGCATTCAAGGCCCTTCACAATTTGTGCCTACTACTTTTCAATACTTATCTTTCACTAAATATGCCACGTGCCTCATTTTTGGTGTTCCTTTATCTAGTAATCTGCACTTTCCCAGTTACTTCCCTTATCTCCCTATGTACAAATCTGACCCATCCTTAAATGTCCAGTTCAAAGGCAATCTCTTCCATTAGACCTTTCTGACTCTCCTTCAGTCAGAATTAATCACTCCCTCCTCTATATTCCCATATCACTTGGTATTTTCCTCTGGTCTAGCACTTTGTATATACTTTCCATAATACTATAGTGCCCAAGAATCAAGTTTAAAAGCCTCAGCATTGCACTGAAGGCCTTCTACGAAAACAGTAATTGTATGTGTTTATATCTCTACCACTAAAGTGTGGGCACCTTAGAAATACAGGCCGACTCCTTTGTACCCCAGCATAGCCCGCTATACACACATTCAATGTGATAATCTCTCCTTAGAAGCATCTATGATGACAGGGTTGAGATAGGCCTCTGAACTCTGGTGACATTGTAGGTACTTGTGTTGCTTGATTCTTCAAAGTGCCTATAGCACGGTTAAACTGTTCACTATTTTTGGATTGCATTTTCAAATAGTCTACTGGCAAATTAGATATAATTATTAAATATTTCCCCATGAACAACCAAAGAAACCATGTTCCTTTTAGACTCTTAAAGCTACAAAGATCAAATTCAATCATTCAAGAGGAAATGAACCTAAAATATTACTTTCCTCATCATTATTGACTATAATATAATCCTTATGAGATAACCTTGAAAGAGAATGTGTCTAGGAGGCCTGCTTCTACTACATTGAAGAGGACAAGCTTACTAGATGTTTTTAATAGTAATTTGCAGGTCATATATATATATATATATATATATATATATATGCTAATTTGAATACTGAAAAGGAGAAGACTTTTGTAAATCTTTCTTAATAAGAAACATAATTGCCTAAATATATATATATATATATATATATATATGATTGCCTAATATAATCCTCAATTACTGGACATATATTCCATAGACAAAAAGGTTTTTGACTAGATACCAAGTACAGATATGAAAACAAACAATATACCTACTTTTTATACATCAGATATTGAGACCATTTCCCCGTTCCTAGATACAGTAATCTATCTGAAAAGCAGAACTATTTTATATCCACTTACACAATAATGTAGTTTGTAACTGTTGGTGAGTTCAACATTTCCCCTCACCAATGGCTCTTCCCATTCCCATTTGCAACAGCCTGTACATGTATACCCCTCAAAAATTATGGGGATATAATAAGAAATTTCTTCTGAAAAGGCAGAAATAAAGGTCCCCAATAATTTATGCTAGCAAGAAAAAGAACAAGTATGCTTAACCTAAAACCTATTTAGAGCTCAGCCTTTGACACAAGTACCAGCAGCAAAAACTCAAATGCTGCCATTATTCATGATGCTGGTTTAATGCATTTAAAGTACTTAACACAGAGCCTAGTACTTACTGAGTACTCAATAAATGTTAGCTATTGTTACTACTAATACTATCACAAGTAGTATACCCCCCAAGCCTATAGTAAACAACCATGAGAGTTTCTAGCCGATAGAGAAAAATAATATAGCAATTACTTTATATTTTTTTACTTAATATATTTTACCATTACGTGTATCTATATGGATAGATGGTTTTTTAATGTGTGTTAATTCTTGTTCCTACCCTAGGGTCTCTAACAGCAGAATAACCATTTTTGGTGAACATTAATATAAGGATCCAGCTCACAAACCACTGAGCAGACCCTGAGGAATTAACAGGGATCAATGGACTATACTTTATAATCACAACTATTTAGATATTTATATTTTCAGATGTTTCTAAGAGAATAAACCTAACTTTAGACAAACCAGTTACTCACCACAAAGACAAAATCCAGATACTTAATGTCACTGCTGTTCAACCTAAGTAGAGCAGTCTGAGGATTGCAGCTGCCAGAGTAGTCAATTACATTGGGTCTGATGTTAATAATCGAAGCAACCTTCAGGGGGAAGAAGTTGGGGGAGGAGGAGAGGTATAGATTAACCATCAAAGCCTACAGCAAAACTTTATACTCTAAGGTGACTACAGTGGAGAACAAAAATCCTTGTCTGGATACTGAAGTTTATGGTGTCTTACTCTCAAGCAAAATTGGCACAACCCTCAAGCTATGATTCAGATGACTTAAAAAAAAGCAAGAGGGATGCTACCTCAGTAATGAGCCAGATGAAAACGCACATTTTTATGGAACCCAAGAGCCATCTGCCTAGCTTGTTTTAAGTCACAGGACTCTGAAATTAGATCTGTTCTTTGGCACGCCCTCTGTAGCTTCAGTGGAACACTGCAACTAGAAGTGATATCGTGGACTTGAATTATCAAATTAAGAAACAGACAGCTGGGCTTCCCTGGTGGCGCAGGGGTTAAAGACAGCACTATCAAACTATCGCCAGCCACTGCAGCATAAGTTCAATCCAGGCTGGCCAGGGAGCTGACCCACATGGTGCAGCAGACCTCTCCTGCCTTGCCTGTTGCTCCCCTCAGCAGTGTATTTCAGGAGATCTGCCTGTTGTGCTCCCCACTCTCGCTGGTGTGTCCTCTCACCCCTACACCTCTGGCCTGTACCCCAGTTCTTGTATGCATAAATAAATCTAAAAAAAAAAAAAGCTGGGCCTCCCCTGGTGGTGCAGGCAGTTGAGCGCCACTCTGTGAAGCTGTCTGCAGCCTCCGCAGCACCGGTTTGATTCCGGCCGGCCCGCAAGGTTCCCACATGGCGCAGCAGACCTCTCCTGTCATGCACACCGCTACCCTCAGCAGTGTATTTCGTCAGTCTGCCTGTTCTGTTCTCCGCTCTGTCTCTGGTGAATTCTCTCACCCTCCCATGCTTCTGACTGTACCCAATGCTTGTATAAATAAATAAATCTTTAAAAAATAATAAATAAAATGGTAGGTTTCCTGAAGGCTAAGCTAACACCTTGACAGTGTACATAACTCTTCATGGTTACAATTAACTCCAAACTAATCAAAACTCAACAAGTCAGTGTCAAATCTCCATTTAAAATGAAACCAGGGCCTCCCTGGTGGCTCAGGGGTTAAAGACAACACTATCAAACTATTGCCAGCGAGGGAGCAACCCACATAGTGCAGCAGACATCTCCTGTCTTGCCCGCTGATCCCCTCAGCAATGTATTTCAGTAGATCTGTCTGTTCTGCTCCCCACTGTCTCTGGTGAATCCTCTCATCCTCCTCCCACCCCTGCACCTCTGGTCTACACCTTAGTTCTTGTATGCATAAATAAATAAATCTTTTTTAAAATAAATAAATAAAATGAAACCATTCTAGTGGAACACTGCTCTTTGGGCTGAAAGCAGGATACATGTATTTGCAAAAAGATACAAATAAAAAAAGACAACTATACCTTCCCATTAGTGATGTTCAGCTGCAGTCCCATGGTAGCCAGAAGACAAGTACCATTGCCATTCCTGACCGAATAGTTTCCAGCCTCTGGTTTTTCCTCGGGAGTGGGTGTGGTGGTAGGAGATGGTGTAGTAGTAGGAACAGTGGGAGTCACTGTGGTTGCACTTCTATCTTGAGAACACAGATATTCTAACAAAGGACAAAGTTAACTAAAGTTGAATTCATTAAGGTCAGGGAAGAACAAAATATTTTTCCTAAGAGAAGGCCAGGAAAGAATACCTTGGTAGTTTTATTTTCAACTAAATAGGACAGAGGTTGTCTGGGGTGCAGCAACAGACTCCAGACATGTGCAATCACTCTTGCTGCACACACATTCATCTTTTCAGACCCTTAACTCCCTTTATTCCCAAGGAAGTTCACCCGCCTCTGATGCAAGAAATCAGTGTGATTTAAGTTTGAAAACATTTCACCCCTAGCTAGGCAGCCCTCTTCTTTCCCACATACAACCGCTATATATGGGAGGACAGTGTTAACCACACAAAACTGCTTAGAAATTATTATAGGATTTAAATATAAATGAACCTTTTTTAAAAACATTCATTTATTTTTATACAAGAGCTGGGGTACAGGCCAGAGGCACGGGAGGGTAAGAGGATTCACCAGAGACAGAGCAGGGAGCAGAACAGGCAGACAACAGAAATACACTGCTGAGGGAAGCAGCGGACACAAGAGAGGTCTGCACACCATGTGGGATTCCTGCCGGCCAGCTGGGATTGAATGACACTGCAGAGGCTGAGGACAGCTTCACAGCACTGCGCTCAACCCACTGCACCACTGGGGAGGCCCCGAATAAACCTTTTTATTTGTGTTACCCCTACAGCAAATCAACAGGCATTTCAACCTCTCTTTTTATTTGTTTTCCAGAACTGGTAAGAAATTATTACATCTCTACAAAGTCATATAAAGTTACAAAACCAATTCATAAAACTCAAGAACACAGAAATCTAATTTCTAAGCTCTGATCTCAGACCATCAAAAGCTTAAGAGCTGACAATCAAGCTATTTGAGGATTTGTTTAAACAAACATTAGCGTTCATCAGCTGATAAGATCATAGGTAGAGGGATTCTGAAAGACCATCTACAAAACGTACATCATTAACTTAAAAATGCAAGTTTCACAAAAATTGCTCGTATTTATAAAAACTTTAAGGTCCAGGGCCTTCCTGGTGGCGCGGCGGGTTGAGCGCCACCCTGTGAAGCTGTCCGCAGCCTCTGCAGCATGGGTTCGATTCACAGCCAGCCAGGGAGATACCCACATGGCACGGCAGACCTCTCTTATCTCGCCTGCTGCTCCCCTTAGCAGTGTTTTCCATCAGTCTGCCTGTTCTGCTCCCCACTCTGTCTCTGTTGAATTCTCTCACCCTCCCGCGCCACTGGCCTGTACCCCAGTTCTTGTATAACTTAAAAAAAAAAATCTTAAAAAAAAAGAACTTGTATTTAAAAAAAAAAAAACTTTAAGGTCCAGTGTAAACTATGAATAAATCTTAATACATAAGTGCTTTCAGACAACAACTTCAATTAAAGGTACCTGGTGTCCTCTATATTAGAGCCCATGTATAGAAACACACATTTCAAGTGCTCACCTTTTCCGCTCACTGTGCCGTTTTGGACGAAAGCTTGAACATGAACATCCCAAAAGTGCTGGACAACATTATCATTGCTTAAAGTTGATAAACTTTTGCATCTAAATATCTCATTCAGTGGAATTTCACTTCTTACAAGTTTATTAAGGGAAATAATTCCTATAAAATAAGATTGACAATAGTTATTTCCAAGAAGACAGGAGGAAAGATAATAGAAATATATTTGTATAGACTCTTCTCTCTGCTGGCCCCATCCCACCCTTGAAGTGTCAAAGGACATGGCATGTTCAGGACTGACAAATCCACTGTGGCCGAAATCCTAGCATTAAGAGGAAAAAAAGCAGTGATGAGAGTCAGGAAGGCAAGATGGGCTACAGGTGGTCACACTTTGAAGCAATTCCTATGATCTAAGGTTGGGCTTTACTGTTAGCAACGGAAGGTTAGCTTCTGTTGTTAAAGACGGAAATAACACAGCTACCATTTAAGAAAAACAGCAAAATTGTAGGGGATAGGCAGGGAAGAAAATGTTTAAGGCAAGTCTTTAAGCTGAAAACTAGTTAGAAGTTTGACGACCTGGCTAAGGGGAAAGGTGAGGGGAGTGCTGAAGATGATGAGCATGGGTAGCTAAGAGCAGTGAGGCAGAATTGTAAACTTATCTAAAGTACAATCAACAGGACTTTGTGACCAAACAAGGAAGAGAGATGAATTAATCAAGGATTTTAGGCAGCTCTTCTGCCCACTTGTGACTGCAGGTACCTCTCTATTTCTTTTCCAAATAAACCTGTCCTTTTAAAATGTTTTTTTAAAAAAATCAAGGATTTTATAGTAAATCCTTATTTTTACTTTTACTATCCCAAAATAAGATACAGTAACTAAAGTAAGCATTTGGACCCTCTTCCTGGATAAAATTTAAAGACTATTCTGTTTCAGAAAAATCTTCAGCATGTGAAAGTAGTAACTGACGGTCATTCTGTACAGTTTTTACTATAATGCCTATAGGGAAACTTCAGAAGACTGATTACACTATTCACCCAAATGGCTTAGTTTCTTTTGGAGAAACAGCAAGGAAGAAAGGTATCCAAGGTCCTAAATATAAGCTGCCTCTCCATTGTGCAGAAAGGCAACCAATTAATGCTGCCTTGGCACCCCCTAATGGCCAAAGGAAAAAACAATTTTTTTAACCAGCGAACTAGAATATTTTTCCTCAAAATTGTTTCTCACTGTTAACAAAAATAAACAGATACATGAACTAGCTTTATATAAGACAAGCAAGTAAAAAAACAAGGTATAGACATATTGGAGATGTACTATCAATCTATATATATTTTTTAAGTATGCACTGTTTATGGACATGGCCATATTAGTCAAAAATAAACACATGAATGGGAAGGATATACCCCAAATTCATTTTAGTGGTTGCCTCTCAGGAGGCAGGAAGGAAAATGACTCTGGGGAGTGGGTACAAAGAAAACCTCAATGTATCTGACAGGTTTTAATTCTTTAAATAATTAAAAAGATGAGGCAAATAAGAAAAGGCATTTATTAATTCTGGATAACGGGTTGCAGGGGAACAAATTTGTCACCCTAAAATGTATCTCTGTGGCACAGGGATTATTTTGAACTGGTTATTTTCAGGAAAATCTTAGAAAAAAGTTACCCTTTTAGAAGAGACATTTATTCATATAAGAAAAAACCTTCATTGGTTAAGGGTGTCACCCTCCCAGTTTCAGGAATCAATATTATCAGTAATTTCTACACGGAATATGAGCTGGATGTGGTGGGAGTGGGGGGGCCTAGCAGAGTCTGTTAAAAATCCCCCTGTGTCACACTATCTACTCCAACAGACACTTGTTTAGCAAACATTTGCTTTTCCCATGCTCCCATAAATTGTCCTCCCCACTTTCAAAGTCCTACACGGATTCCCCAACTTTCTTCTTTTGTGTTTAACCGAAATGGTATTTTAAGATAATGGCCTGAGCCATTTCAGGGAGTTGCTCCATTTTCCTGGGTGTCTCGTGTATACAGGAGGTGTACATGTTTCATTATTCTCTCTTCTTTTCTGTATTTTAACCATAAAAAGTTAAAAAAGATAAACAGCAGCTTCAAAGTTACTTCAATTATCAGATGCCTAAAAATAAAACAAATGTTTCTATTTACCAAAGTTAAATATATAATCAAAAGCCCATTTAAGGAAGGCAATTCAAATTTCAAAGAGTTTCAAATATTACATAAAAGCTAGTTTTGAAAAATGGATCCTACCATTATTTAAAGTAAAAGGGGGAAAAGACAGGTTAACAATTTAGAATCCATTGTTTTTCCAGTGAAATATATCAGACTAAACCCCACCTCCTTTCACTGCTACCACCTTGATCCAGGCACTCAATACACATCATCCCTTGATTACAACAGCATCTTCAGCATCTCTGCTTGCAGTCTCCTTATTTCCAAATTAATCCCTCAGAACATTCTTTATAAACTACCGTCTCTGCATTTATTATATCATTCTCCAGCTTAAAAATCTAAAATGGGGCCTCCCTGGTGGCGCAACTGCAGCCTCCGCAGCACGAGTTCCAGCCCTGGCCAGCCAGGAAGCAGCCTACATGGCGCAGCAGACCTCTCCTGTCTTGCCCGCTGTTCCCCTCAGCAGAGTATTGCAGTCAGTCAGCCTGTTCTGCTCCCCACTCTGTCTCTGGTGAATCCTCTCACCCCCCGCATCTCTGGCCTGTACCCCAGCTCTTGTATGCATAAATAAATAAATCTTTAAAAAAATTCTAAAATGATTTCCCAGTGCTTACCCCATCAAGCTTAAATGCCTTTCCATGGCTTTCAAGGCCCCCTATAATTTAGACCCGCTGCACCTAGCCAATCTGACTTTCCCTCCACTACACATAGTGCCTCTATTTTAATAAGGCAGCTCTCCAATTACTGCTGCACATACTATGCTTCCCCCTGCTGGAAATTTTCTGCTCAAAATTCTCTGCTTACTCAAATTCATCATCAGTTGAGTTTCAGCGCAGGTCCAACTTCTCTATCATTTTCACTCTGACCCACTCTGCACAGTCCTTTCTCTCTGCTCCTAATCAGGACCACTTTTATCATCAGGTACTTTTTTTTTAAGATTGATTTATTTATTTATACAAGCACTGGGTACAATCAGAAGGGCGGGAGGGTGAGAGAATTCACCAGAACCAGAGTGGGGAGCAGAACAGGCAGACTGACAAGGAAGTACCCTGCTGAGGGGAGCAGTGGGCAGCAGGAGAGGTCTGCGCACCATGTGGGACCCTCACCCGGCAGCCAGGGATCGAACCGGCACTACGGAGGCTGCTGGCAGCTTCGTAGCCCAGCGCTCAACTGCTGCACCACTAGGGAGGCCCTATCATCAGGTACTTTTAACCATAGACATCTACAGATGGGCTAATGGTCTATGTACCATGTGCAAAGTTTATTCCATATTTTGAGAGGGTTTAAGAGCTTTCCTCTTGTTGTCAGAAATTCATAATCACACACACACACACACACACACACACGAGCTTTCCTCTTGTTGTCAGAAAAACATTCATAATCTCTCTCACACACACACACACATCAAAAACACAACCAAGGGCCTCCCTGGTAACCTAGGGGTTAAGCCTCACCACTTCAGCCTGAGTTCGACCCCAGGCCAGGGAGCTGACCCATATGTGGCTCAGCAGACCTCTCCTGTCTTGCCCACTGCTCCCCTCAACAGTGTATTTCAGTAGATCTGCCTGTTCTGTTGCCTACTGTCTCTGGTGAATCCTCTCACCCCCCGCATCTCTGGCCTACACCCCAGTTACATGCATTAAAAAAAAATAAATCTTTAAAAAAAACTAGAACTTGATTTCCAAGTCTCAGTCTGCAATACCTCCCAAATTTTACATGTGCTCATTCACCTCTTGGTCTCTTAAAATCTCTTTTGATATCCATAAATCCAAATCCACCTTTATCCCCAGGTCTAGACAAAGAAACCAACTTACCTGTGTTTCTAGGGTCAGAATGAAAAACTATCTGTGAGAAATGCTAAGCTACTGCAAACACCACACTTAGCAAATCTCAACGGAAGGGGAAGAAAGGTGAGAATTATATATATCCCTAACAAAATCGAAATTTCCATTATCCATGCCTTCAAAATATTAATACACATTTCAATTTGGGGAGTTACAAGAATGACCTAATTGCCAATGTTTTCTCCTAAGTTCATTTTGATCTAAAATTGTCTCAAAGCAGATACAAATGTTGATTTCAGTTATTTTACCTTTAATCATTTGCTTTTCAGTAAAAATCCTATGTAAAAAGAAAAAAAGGTTTAAAGATGAAACATTTCTCCCGAGTGTCGGGTTACTGAACTTGTACACATATAAATAAATACTTACAAAGGGTTTTCTCATTTATTCAACATTTGTTGAGTGTCCATTATTGAATGAAATGAGTAATAATAATTAAACACATGAACCAGCTCACCCATTTAACTAGCTATAGTGTTACCTTTGGGAAAGTCATTTAGTCTCAAGCCTGATTCCCTTTAACTGTAAAACTGAGATATCTATTTCCTAGGGATACTGTTCAGGACTAAGTGAGATGCTGCTGATAACATACTTAGGGTAGCACCTATAAAGCACTCAAGCAATGACAGCAAATACCAACCCTGTGTTGAACAATGGGGTGGTGGAGTGTGGGGGTGTGTGCGTTGAATACAAAGACATGAAACTTGCAGTTTAGTTAGGAAGACAGATGTGCATTGGGATGATTTTAAATTACTTACAATTTTTCTTAGTAATAAAGAATAAGAGAACATAACACAAATCCCATTCTTAAGGTTACCTTTATCTTTAGCATCAGGAAATGTGGTGTTATCTGCAGTGTCGTAGGACAATGAGATGCTTTCAATAACATAATAATCAGACTCCTTGGTAAAATTCACACTCCAAGAAACAGGTCCAAGTTGCACCTCGATTTTGGAAAAATTCTTTCCATCCCCACAAGTGGTTCCATTATATGTTACAGTGCCATTGTCTGAAATGGTTGTATTTTTCTAAAGGATAAAAGAAAATTGGTGGTAATGAACAAATAGGCAGGAATGACCACCAAGTATTTATGCAGGGTGTACTAATGAAGTCTGCATCAAACACCCCCACCATGGCCCGGTGGCCTTTTGCCTGGTTTGCTGGGTAAACTAGCTAAAATCAGTCCTCTGGACAAATTCATGGACGGCTAAAAGCAAAAGGAAAACTCTCCTGAATTTCTGTTCTGAAGTTGATTTTTTTTCTAAATAGTGGGATCATAGAGCCTCCCTGGTGGCGCAATGGATCGAGCGCAGCACTGTGAAGCTGTCCGCGGCCTCTGCAGTGCAGGTTCCATTCTCTGCCAACTAGGGAGATAACCACATGGCATGGCAGACCTCTCCTGTCTCGCCCGCTGCAACCCTCAGCAGTGCTTTCCGTTTGTCTGCCTGTTCTGCTCCCCGCTCTGTCTCTGGTGAATCCTCTCACCCTCTTGCACCTCTGGCCTGTATCCCAGCTCTTGTATAAATAAAAATAAATCTTAAAAAAAAAAAAAAAGGTGGGGGCCTCCCCTGGTGGTGCAGCGGTTGAGCGCTGGGTTGCGAGGCTGTCCGCAGCCTCTGCAGCGCCAGTTCGATCCCCGGCCACAAGCGAAGGTCCCACACACACACAAAAAAAAAAAAGGTGGGGTTATAACCAGGCAGAAACTTATTACAGTAGCTAGACCTGAATACCACAAGGGAAACTCAAAAAAATCAATGTGGGCCTCCCTGGTGGCGAAAGGGGGTAAGTCTCAGCACTATGGAGCTATCTGCAGCACTGTGGCATAAGTTCGATCCCCGGCCAGGGAGCTAACCTACATGGTGCAGCAGACCCCTCCTGTCTTGCCCACTGCTCCTCTCAGCAGTGTATTTCAGTGGATCCACCTGTTCTGCTCCCCACTCTGTCTCTGGTGAATCCTCTCACTCCAGCCCCCTGCACCTCTGGCCTACACCCCAGCTCTTATATGCATAAATAAATCTTTTAAAAAAAAATCAATGAATTAGAGTATTAATTTAACACTTAACAATATCTTCAAGAGTTTGTTTAAAAAAATACAAGATGCAAAATCTTATTTGTATAAATGTATGTAAAGTTTAAAAAACAGCAAAATCAAATTCCTACTATAAGTCAAAGAAAAATCAAAATACTTACGTAACTTTTGCTTGTAGTCTCATAGTTTATTGTGAAATTCATATGCCAGTTTGCAAAAAGGCAAGTGGCATTTTTTGAATCTGTCTGATTAACCTCCAATGCATAAGATGGGACAGCACCTGATTTATTAAAAAGAAAAATAATTAAAATTGTACTACAAAAACATACATGAACTCAAGGTCACTACCTAGTTTCTCAGTAGGCTACCTCTTTAGGCAGAGAAACCTGACAGAGCCAAAGAAACCCTGCGACTTTTCAGCTACCTTGTCTCTGATCTTTTACACAAAGTTAAAGATTGGATCATCACCTTTACAATGAAGAGCCCAAGGCCTCAAAAGACTATGTCAGCAAACACACAGCATAAATAATGGGTGACCAGCGATGCATTTTCTTCTCTGTCACACATTTACCCAAGGGGTGAGCTGTTTCCTGTTAAGAGAGCTGCATATCCTTTAATGATATCTGAACACTCCGGCGTCATCTACAAGCAGGGACATGCTATAGGCTATAGAGAATAGAGTCCTAAGAGGGATATCTCAGCAACAGCTTTCTAGTTGCACACAAAACTATGGTTATGCTTCTGAGACCCAGATGCCTTGCCAAGCCAGCATATTATGCTAAATCTTACAGTTACTGACAGTGCTGAAATGTACTGGCTAAGGCAGGAAAAGACGTCATGAGGCCTAAGTAGGTTTTACGGCCATTCTTTTGTAAGTGTAATAGAGAATAGAGCTGTCACCACAAACCCAATGGTACCCTGTAGGCCGCTGAGAATGCCAGCTTACAGTTTTTCTAATCAACTGGAAGTCTGTTTTTTATATGCTATCTCATTCAGTCTTGTTCAAAGTCCCCAGCTTGAACATATGCTCTTATATTTAAAGCATACAAAACCACTAGAAATAAGAAAGAAAAGCTGCACGTGTATTAATAATTTCCTTTCCAAAGAGATTACAACTAACAGAAAGAAAACCACGTGAAACTGTAGAACGGAAGCTTCAAGAAGCAGCAGGCTGTGGTTCAAATGTACCACTCGAGGGGCCTCCCTAGTGGCCTAGGGGTTAAGTCTCAGCGCTATCACCACTTCAGCCTGAGTTCGATGCCAGGCCAGGGAGTTGACCCATACGTGGCTCAGCAGACCTCTCCTGTCTCACCTGCTGCTCCCGTTAGCAGTGTATTTAAGCACATCTGCCTGTTCTGCTCACCATTGTCTCTGATGAATCCTCTCACTCCCCCACACCTCTGGCCTACACCCCAGTTCTTCTATGCAAAAACAAAAACAAAAACAAAAACAAACAAAAAACCAAATGTACCACTCTATTAAATTCAAGAGTCTACCAGTCAACCTAAAAATGAGAACTGTTAACCACCCCAGGGCTCCAGCATATTCTATCCAGTCTCTCCTCCACTGAGAGACTCTCCTCCACAGAGCCTCTCCTCCACTGAGAGACTTTCACAGAGCTCACTTCACTTCCTGGTCTAGAGTACCAACTACATGGTGAGCACTTGGCTCAAATACCTATCACTTAATACCCAACAATTCCAAAACAAAATTCACTATTTTACTCCCTCCAGATTGTCCCCTTCTCAACCACTCTAGCTCAAAGGAAAAGGCAGGACCACGTACAGTACAGTCCCTTAGGCTCAAAAGTTTTAGAATCAGTTCCTGCTTACTGCACTCTTTTCTTCACATCCTGGTGTTTTTTTTTTAATTCTCTCTTAAATCCAATCTTTGCATTTTATTTCTATTCCTATCCCATCACCCTACTCTTAAATTACTACAGCTACCTCCTAGCTGCCCCTAGAAAGTTAATGGTCCTTAAATACCTCTTTCTCCCAGGACACTTACTTGTTCAAAAACTTTTACTAGCTCCAAATTCCCATATTAAACTTAAACTCCTCTGCCTGACTTTCAAAGTAATCCTTAATCTTGTCCCACCCCATTCCTTCAACTTCCCTGGAACCATTTTCCCAGAACACACCCTTTAATCTGGTCAAACTTGTTCCACTGGACCCAAATGCCACCTCTGTTCAACCTCTACCCCCCAGGCTTCTATTGTTACCAACATTTGAAATCTCCTTTCTTCTACTGACCTAAATGTTCACCCCAGCAGGGAATTCCCTATTTTTGCTGCCCAAAATCTGAAACACCCCTCCTACCCTGACTTTTTTACAATTCCTGGCAGATATCACCACCCATGACAAAAGCTGAAAAATGACATACACTTGCTTTCCCAGCCTTCCTTGCTGCAAGGTTCAACAACCTAACAAAGTCATCCACCCAGACTGAATACAAGGCAGAGGAAGAGAGATAGGAACCATCACCCTCAGGTGGAAGTACCTATAGCAGGATCAAACTTCTAGGCAACAAGATCAGCAGAGCTAGCTGCTGAAACCTGTGGTATGAGCTGCAATTGAATGCCTGGCAATGCCTGGCAGTGCTGCTGCAGATCAGTGGCTGTGAACTAAACTTTGGGATACAAAGCCAGAAGCTATGGCAATTCTGAGTTACCCAATACACATTTGCTTTTTATAAAGTAAAATTTTACTGATGTCACACATATAGGAAACATCACCGTGCACATAACATTAAGTAAACAGTGCAAAGAATATTCTAACTGAACCCACTTGTGTCAAGAAACATAACATTTTTTTATAATAAATTTTATTTTTATATTCCCCATACAATTGCAACCCCCTTATTTTGACCCCAATCCCTTCCCTCCCCGCCCCCTACACCCATAGAGTGTCTCTGGTTCATAGTTTTTTGTTGATTTTGATTTTCACTTTCTTTTTCCTGGTGCCTTATTTAAGTTTTCTAGATTCCTGCTATGAGTGAGACCATCCGGTATTTTTCTTTTTCTTTCTGGCTTATTTCGCTGAGCATGATCCCTTCCAGCGCCATCCATGTTGCTGCAAATTGCATGTGTTTATCTTTTTTGAATGCTGAGTAATATTCCATGGTATATATGTACCACATCTTCTTGATCCAGTCATCTATTTTTGGGCATTTGGGTTGTTTCCAAAGCTTAGCTATTGTAAACAGTGCTGCTGTAAACATAGGGGTGCAGGTGCTCTTTGGAATTGATGTTTCTGTGTCCTTTGGGTAAATACCCAGGCGTGGAATTGCTGGATCATATGGAAGCTCTAAAGAAACATAACATTTCAAGTACTCCCAGAGCCTCCCTCGTTTCCCCCTTTCCAGTTACTATTTCCCTCCCAAGAGCAACCACTATCCTGACTTCTAACGGTTTGAATTAGTTTTGCCTGTTTTTCAGTCTGATATAAATGAAAGCATTCACTATGCCCTCCTTTGTGTGTGGCTTCTTAGCTCCATATTATGTCTGTGAAGAGTCACCCATACTTCTTGGGCTGTAATTGCAGTTTATCCTTTCACACTCTGTATGTAAGCTTTCTGTTATTGGGTGAATTCCACTACTTATCTGTGCTACTGCTGATGGGCATTTTTAGTTTCCAGTTTGGTTCTACTACAAATGGACACTATGGTGATGTGTATGTACATGTGTGTCTGTTGGGACTATTATCTAGGATGAAACTGTGGGGCCAAGGGGTATGTAGATTACTGACATCTTTTTCATAAATTCCTTTTCTGCTTTTTCTGTTGCTTACAATTAAGTACCTGGTCTGCTATGCTGTCCATTTCCTGCAGCCATTTTTTCCACAAAGAATTCCTTCAGGGACCTTGCTGGTGCCTCAAGGGGTTAAGCACAGCACTACGATGCTATCTGCAGCCTCTGTAGCACTTCGATCCCGGGCCAGCCAGAGAGCTACCCACATGGCACAGCGGACCTCTCTTGTCTCGGCCGCTGTTCCCCTCAGCAGTATGTATTTCAGTCAGTCTGCCTGTTCTGTTCCCCACTCTGTCTCTGGTGAATCCTCTCACCCCCCGCACCTCTCACCCCAAGAACCCCAGTTCTTGTATGCATAAATAAATCCTTAAAAAAATTCCTTGAGAAGTAGTCGTAGTTCATATCCCCATATTTCTGCATATTTTATACTATTCTGAATTTTTCAGTTATTTTCTGCCCATTAATCCTGTCTTCCTTATAAGCTCCAAAAGAACTGTCACTTGGCAACAAATCGACGTGCCATGGTAAATTACAGTATACAGCAAAAAATTTGTTAATAAAAAAAGTACCCAAGTCTGAGAATGAATGATATATATGGATAGAGTCAAGATTCCTTTTTGTTGTCTTTGCCACTCATTTTTTTTTAAGATTTATCTATTTATACATACAAGAACTGGGGTACAGACGAACTCGTATTACAGAGGCTGCGGATAGCTTCACAGTGCTGTGCTTAACCCCTTGCGCCACCAGGGAGGCCCTCTGCCACTCATTCAAATTCCAATTTGCTCCCTTAAACAGATGCTCTTATCTGTACCACGGCTTCCAGGAGTGAGTCTTTTATATGAATGTTATCCATCAGGGGTGTCATGGTAGGGGAGACGAAGCCTATTACTTTTCCTCTATCTCCTATCATTCCTAGTAGTGTGGAATATATATTAGATTCTCAATAAATACTGATTGATTATAAAGGTAAGTTGGGAAATAGCCTAATTTCTTCACAGACGGGCCAATCCTTCAGCTCTTCCAAATTATGAACTTAACCTATTACTCTTCCAGATATGCCCTCAATCCCATGTTAATTTTCTGGATTTCAAGCTAGGAATCATGCTTTTCCTAAAAGTTTATAGTTGAAACATTTACACTTTCAGCAAGTCATTTCCATCCTTATTGCTATGTTAGATTTTAGAATATGGCCTATTTTTTCTTAAAAGGCCTTATGACATTAAAAAAGAAGAAAACCTCACAGCTGAATATATCCTAAAATATATAAAGAGCTGAGAGCTTAGTCTCCAAAGAAAAAGACATACCTCAAAATCAATGTCCTCAAATTCATATACCCCCTTAATTTCATTTTCAAAAAGGTCATTTTAGAACTTTGATTCTTTCAGAACTTAGAACTTATTTCTCAAAGCCTAAGGACACTGAAAAAAGTGGCTGGCTTTTACAAGTCTTATTTGACCCAAAATGTAGCTGAAAAATACACACTTGTAAACAAGGGGTGGGGGCACATAACACTAGTGGTAAAAGAAAAC